GGAGCGACGGACGCGGTGCCCTCCTACCTACTCGAGGCCAGTTGCGAAGCGGCCTGGCGGCTGGCGGACTGGTCGGCGCCCTGCCCGCCGCCGACCGCTGCCGCCACTCCGGGCCTCCAACAGGCGCTCTTCTCCTGCCTGTCTGCCTACCGTGACGGTGACGTGGCGGCGGCCGCGGAGGCTGTGGAGCGGGGCCGCACCGCGGCTCTCTCGGTGCTCGCCGGGTCGGCGACACCCAGCACACACGTGGCCGGCCTGTGTCTGAGCCGGCTGCGGCTGCTCTGGCGCGCCGACCAGCTGTGTCAGGCGGCCGGCGGCTCTCCGGCCGAACTGAGCGCACTCTGCGACCGCTGGCGACACGCGCCGGCGCCGCGCCTGCCCTTCCGACTGGAGGAGCCGCAGCTGTCGTTCTCGGCGTCTCTGCTGGCGGTGCTGGCCGAGCGGCAGCCGACGCTGCAGGACGCCGTACTGCTGCGCCAGGAGACACTGCTGCGTCTCAGCGAGGGGGCGCGTGCCGCCGGCCGGCTGGCGGCTGCCGAGCGGGCCGCCGCCGCGCTGCCGGCCGACAGCGTGCCGTCCATCCGCTGCCGCGCAGAGAACAGCTGGGCACGCAGCGACGCCGAGTCGGCGCTGTGGCTGTGCCGCGGCCTGCTGGACGAGGGGACCAGGGAGCAGCAGCCGGCCGGCCGCCGCCTCCAGCTGGCCCAGCTGAAGGTGCTGTATGCCGGCTGGCTGTCGGAGGTGCACCGCGAGGGACCGCAGGAGATCCTGGAGCAGCACCTTGAGCCGGCCATCGTCCAACTGGAGCAGATGACAGACGGTGAGTAACGGCTGCTGTGTGCCGTTCACATTACTGCCAGCTGATCGCATATACCTGAGACATCACGCTCTATCGCTACTTTCGCTTACTCTTATGTCCGTCTTCTGCAAACTTAGCGATTTATTTCACTTTTTACTGCAACATACATTTTGCTGCATGTCCTATGGTAACAATTGACTTGATGTGTTGGATGGATTAGATTCCCGCACCAAAACTGAGCTAGTCGCCTCTGTTGTGTGATGCTGTGAGCTAACAGCGTGCTCTGCTCGGACAGGCCCGGACTCGGAGCGTGCCCTGCTCGAGGCCCACTACCTGGCCGGCCAGTACGCCGACGCACAATTCCAGCGAATCGACGAATGGGTCACTTCTGCCGACTTCGCCGCTAAGCGCGCCGAGGCGATTCGCATGCGACAGGAGGCCGACCAGTTCCGAAAGCGGGCGGCCGCCGCCAAAACCGACACGGACACCAAGGACTTCCACCGGCAGCACTTTAACCTGACGCGCTCGGCGGAGCTGGACGAGGCGGAGCTGCGCCAGGCGGAGGACGACCGGACCGCCTTCCAGCGCCGCGCCGTGGCCAGCTATCTGCGCTGCCTGCAGCTGGGCCGGCACCGCGACCTGCTCGTGTACCGGCTGGTGGCGCTGTGGCTGGCGGACACGTCTGGCCAGGTGTGCGAGCTGCTGCGGCCGGCCGCGCCGCGGCTGCCCGCCTTCAAGCTGGTGCCGCTGCTGTATCAGCTGGCGGCGCGCCTGGGCCGGCCCGGCTGGCTGCCGGAGTCCGCCCAACTGCTGGAGGAGCTGCTGGAACGCTGCGCAGCTGAGCACCCCCACCACACGCTCCCCGTGCTGCTGGCGCTCAAGAACGCGCACGCGGACGCGGCCGGTGGCGCTGCCCCGGCGACTGATGCAGGCGGGGAGGCGCGGACGGCGGCCGCTACCCGTCTGGTAAAGCGGCTAGCCAGCAAACCAGCGCTGGCCGAGCCTGTGCGGCAGCTGGAGGCGGCCAGCGCGGCGCTGGTCGAGCTGGCCTACCACACCCACGTCGGCACGGCTAGCTCAGGCCGCGTGCCGTCCGGGTGTCGGCTGCTAAAGCTGGGTGAGCTGTCGGCCGTGGCTGTGCAGACGGTCCCCCTGCCGGTGCGCGCCGACGCAGACTACACGGCCGTGCCCACCGTTATCAAATGGGACAACAAGTATGATATGGTTGGCGGCGTCAACGCTCCCAAGAAGCTGCGCTGCCTGGGAAGTGACGGCCGGTGGCGGCCGCAGCTGCTCAAGGGTCGTGACGACCTGCGGCAGGATGCCGTGATGCAGCAGGTGTTCTCCGTGCTGAACTTGCTTCTGGCGGAGAGCGCCGCGCCAGACCAACCGCCGCTCACAATCCGCACCTACAAGGTGGTGCCACTGTCGCAGCGCTCGGGCCTCATCGAGTGGTGCGTGGACACTCAGCCACTGGCGGACTACCTGGCCGACAAGCGCGGCGGCGCCCACGTGCGCTACCGACCCGACGACATGACACCCGCCGAGGCCCGACGCGCCATGCAGACTGTCGCCAAGAAGTCGGCCGACCAGAAACGGCGCGCGTTTGCCGAGGTGTGCCGTCGTCTAAAGCCGGTGATGCGGCACTTCTTCTTTGAGCGGTTCCCAGAACCGTGCGCGTGGTACGAGCGACGTGTCGCCTACACCAACAGTGTGGCCGCCTCCTCGATCTCCGGCTACGTCCTCGGCCTGGGGGATCGCCACGTGAGCAACATTCTCATCGACAAGGCTTCGGCAGAGGTGGTCCACATCGACCTCGGCGTGGCGTTCGAGACGGGTCGCCTCCTGCCGACCCCCGAGACGGTACCGTTCCGTCTGACGCGCGATATCGTCGACGGTATGGGCGTGGCCGGCGTGGAGGGTCGCTTCCGACGCTCCTGCGAGCGCACGCTCTCCGTGCTTCGCGAGAGCGTGCAGGTGGTGCTGACGATCGTGCGCGTGCTGCTCGATGACCCGCTGTACGCGTGGACGCTGACGCCGGACAAGGTGAACCGTCTGCAGCAGCGGGACGCCCACAGGTCAGCCGTGGCCGCTGGGGACAACCGTCAGGCGGAGAGGGCGCTGGCCCGGCTCGCCGAGAAGCTGCGGGGACAGGAGGCGGGTCAGGTGATGACCTGTGCCGCTCAGGTGAGCCACCTGATACAGCAGGCGCGCGACCCGGAGAACTTGTGCCGGCTGTTCAACGGCTGGCAGGCGTATCTGTGAGGATGTGAGAGCGAGCCGGGCCGAAACAGCCAAGGCTGTTTCAGCTGCTGCGATACAGTTACGTTGCTTTTTGTAGCGAGCTAGCCGAAACGACGAAGGCTCTTTCAGGTGCTGTGATACAGATCGGTTACTTTTGTACTTGTGCAATGTAGTGGCATTCCAGAATAGACGTCATTGACTATATTTGTACCCCTATCTCTTTTACATGCGTCCACTGGACGGAGCACCAGGGAAGTGAGAAGTCTGACGGATATTTGCCGTACTGTTTTCGTGTAAGATACGAATCTCAATCCCTGTCATTTCCAACTCAATATTGCTCGATACAAGCTGAGGTGCGGTAACTGTCACTTGGATCAATTTGGGTATGACAAGGTCATGTAACTCGGTGAAGTAAAAATCACCTTTAAATGACAGCATTGTAGGGCGAAGTTTAAAGCTCAGTTGGACATAATATCTATGTGGTCACATATTCGCAGCAATTCAGAGTATCAGTAAAAACATTATCAAGGGCTGATGTGAAATAGTATTGACAATGATGCGCTGTCCGTTTCGGTCTGAGGCCGTCGGTATATCCACCGATAATATGCAACGAAGGGTGAGCTCATCGCTGAGTCCGAACAAAGCTTTAGTTAGGGTTGATGCGGCCTTGGGTTGAAGTGCTGGAAAGTTTCTACTTTCTAGCTCAGCCGGACCTCAGTCACCGCGTGCCCTCTGAGCCCCGGTGCGCTATCGGGGCGGTCCGAGCGGCGGTCACCTGACGGCTGATACGGTGCGGCGATCAGTGGGTGTCAGTTCGCCCGCCGCCGCCGCCCCGCCATGTCGCTCCGTCCGCTGCTGCTCTGCGCCGCCCTGGCGGTGGCCGGCGCCGCCAACCCGCGGCAGCTGGACGCCGTCAGACACTTCCTGGAGGAACGCCACCTGTCGGCCGGCGCCGCGCCGTCGCCCCGAGTTGTGCGCGTCTTCACCGAGCCGAAACAGCCGGAGCAGCCGGCCCCGCAGGCGCCGACACCGACGCCGTCGCCTTGGTTCGACTGCCCGACCACCTTCGGCCTGTACCCAGACCCGTACGACTGTAACAAGTACTTCCAGTGCAGCTACGGAGTGGCCTTCGAGGAACAGTGCCAGCCGGGACTCGAGTTCAACCCGAGGTCCAACTCTTGCGACTTCCCGAGTAACATCGTCCCGCCGTGCCAGGCGATCCCGTACCCGACGGACGAGGCTCCGGCGGCGCGGCCGGAGGAGGCCGCCCACTCCGCCGCCCAGCGGCCCAGCGTGCACGTGCAGGCCGCGCCAGAGGTGCACATCAACGTGCCGAAGGTGCCGCAGGTCCACGTCCAGAAGCCGGCCCTGCAGCAGCCGCACGCTGAGCTGCCACAAGTCCATGTCGAAAAGCCGAAGGTTCCGCAGGTGCACGTCCAGAAGTCGGTGCTGCCGCGTCTGCTTCACTAGGCGTCGGCTGCAGCTTCGTCGGACACTGTTCGATTAGATCGGCCGCAACTCCAGGCCTGGGAGTAACAAGGCTGCTGTGACACGGTACTGCCGTGCAAGATGTGTGAGTGGTAATGGAAAATAAAGTAATGAGGTGCTTCTGAGCTGAGCCTCGCGTTTCTAGCTGCTGGTCAAATTACCGATGGGCGGTGCGGCACCCTAACTTGACAGGGCCACCGCTGCTGCCAATCCAATAGTTTGAATAGTTCCGATAGTTTCCAATAGTGTAGTTCCCAAATCGAGACAATGCGCTATGCTAGTGACGTTTGGTCATGTCAACAATCAAGGGCGATCCTGGGCGATAAACACTCTTCCAGGTATCGTAAAGCAAAACATTTTGTCCAACAAACCACTTTATTGAAGTCGTACATGTTTTTTCCATAATCATGGGAATGTAAGCTGGACTTTTGGCACCAACTCCAATGGTCGAACACAAGGAAAAACCAAATTTGTCCCTCATGCTGGTGTATTAGCCCATAATTTATCAGACCCACACTGTGCCATCACAACAGCCTAACAGATAAAGTCGGGCGTTCGTAACACCTCGACAGCCCGCGACAGCAGATCCAAGGTCGTGGGAGGATGGAGATCTGGGGTGCAGTCAATCCAACCCGGGGTGTTGGAACAGCGACAAGGGTGCAGCACTTACAGAGAGGCCGGGGTGCAACGACAGCGGGCCCGGGTGCAGTTACAATGACGGACGGCACTGCGGCAGCAGCCAGGCGAGCCGCGACTCTCACAAACAGTACAAACGGTGCCGAGAAGAGACCCTGAAAGCCCCGGGTGTTCGCAACACGAGGAAACGTCAGCTAAACTGTACCCGTGGTTATCTTCGCCTCGCTGGGCCAGCAATGGGCTGAGACAAGTGAACACAGCACATACACTGTACAGTGTATGTAGATACACGACCTCCACTGTGACGCACAGTGACATATTCGAGGGGAACGCCGTCACGCAGGGCGTGTTGCAGCCCTTGGACGGAATACAATTCAGGTCTGGACGGATATTGGACATATATCACAGCGAAAAAGACATGACTAGTCATGATGAAATCCATAATTACGGCAGTGTGATAAAAACCGACTTGTTAAATAAGCTGGCGCCTGGCGCTATCTGTCCAAGACAAGCAGGCACGAAACAAAGAATGCTTCGAGAGGTAAGCCAACAGAAAAAAAAAAACACTATCGTGTGACGCTGTTACGTGACATATCGGGCTCTTGTGAGTCGTGACGTCATCGCGAGACCGAAGTGAAGTGGCTCTGTCTGAGACACACTGTAAGCTGCGAGTGTCTCGCATGAGAGTCAAGGCCATGCTTCTATCGCCACCCGGCAGGATTACCAAGAAGGAGCTGCCAGAAATGTCAAATATCATGCCTCCCATGCATCTTACCAATGTTGACGTCACACCAAAACGCACCGCCCTGACTAGAAAATGAGATCATACGAGAAACAGATCGCCTGATATCGCCATCGTCTGGGCTGAGTGATCAATCAAGAATTAGCAGCACGAAAACACCCCATTCCGATGCATAGGCACGCCACCTGACACCCCTCCGATCGCCAGACACGGTCAACTCACGCAGCCGACCGCTCACTTTGCTTTGACGTCCTTCAGCTGCTGCGTGAGCCACGCGATGCCGTCGCTGAGACCCTCGCCAGTGATGGCGTTGCTGGCGCAGATGTGGAACTGCTTGTTTTCCATCTTCTCCAAGCCGAGCATCATGGTCACCTTGACGGAGCTCATGGCCTCCTTAAGGTCCATCTTGTTGGCGAAGAAGAGTAGGGGGATGCGCCGCGGTCGGATGTCCGGATGCTGCAGCAGGGCGTCCAGCTCGTCCTTGGCCACCACCATGCGCAGCTTGTCGCTGCTGTCCACCACGTAGATGATAGCGTCACAGTCGCGGTAGTAGTGCTCCCAGAGATTGCGGTAGCGGCCCTGGCCGGACATGTCGAACGCCGTGAACGCCAAACTCTGAGCTGCGGGCACAAAGCAGGCGGTCAAACGGTCGGTCAGGCAAGGGGCCGGTGTCGGGCAGAGAGTAGTAGGCAGGGAACAATCAGCCAAGAGACGGTCAAACAACTCCGATACAAGAACTACCTAGGCAGGCAGAGCCAAAACGGTCAGACGTGGGGAGATGTGGTGTGAGACGTTTGGCACCAGACGAGCAGAGAGGAACATTTTTGGTGGGTGCATCATTGGACTAGGCAGACGGTCACCTAATGGTACCAGGACGATCCCATTGAGCGACCAAAAGCGCGTAAACAGGAGCGAATGGAGAAGGATCGAACGGCGGGTGGGAAAAAGGAAACAGCGAGACTTTTATCGTTTAGGGGCAGCCAGATTAAAGAAATAATGCTAGGGAATGAGAAGTTAAGTGACAATTCATAAAAAACGTGTTGATGATTTGGTACCACTATTAAGCTCAAGCACAATGTTCTGCTTACACAGCGAAACAGCAAACAATGGCATCAAATAAACACGATATTCAAGATTTTCAGTGTCAAAATTCGACATTATTAGGTACGTGACGCAGCCGTAACAAGCCTATGAGGATACTCTGCCACCACCAACGCCCACCATTCAGTGGCTTCATCCAGAAGCGCACCTTTGAACCGCTCCACGTTGAAGCCGACGGTGGGCACGATGTCGGCAGCACGCTCCAGGTCCGGCTTCAGGTGGTTCAGGATCGTCGACTTGCCGCTGTTATCCAGTCCCACCACAATGACATTGACCTCTCGCTTTCGCAGGCCGAGCGCCGTGGCCAGCGTATTAAACAGCCCCATGATGCCACCAGGCCGGGCTGGTGTTGGAGCAGTTCCAGAGCTGTGCACCAGCGGCCAATAAAGGCTGGTGTCGCTGCAGTCAAGAGCAGCACCAGCAGTGACCAGTGTGTCTTCAATCGATAGTGATCAAGCAGAGCGATCTGAAATGGACAAAAGGAATACTAAAACAATAATGCATCAATCTATATGTGATGTGAACAATTGACAAACTGAGAAGAAGAAAAAAGTTCAACAGAGAGAGCTGTGCCCTACTGCATATATAATGCTGTCCTGTATTTGTTCAAGAGCCTTGGTATGTAAAAAAGGTGGCTGATCCCAGGTAGGGTCAAATGACTCCTGTGGAGCTGAACATTTATTTGGTGATGCAGCACCTGGTCTTCTCAGACATTGCATTCAGTGACATCTTAGTGGTAATGCTAATGGGCAAATATAAGTGGGGCCCTTCAGCCAAAGGGGACCACAAATCAGAGCCTAAGCAGTGAGCAGGACTCTGACCAAGGTAGGCATGGGCTGAAAAAATCCATTACACAGCAGGAACCTGGGACAATAAGACACGACACATGCAAGATCTGGTATGAACTATTCTGGACAGCTTGAGAGCAGCCCTTGCAGCTGCCTTGGACTCTACAGAAGCTGGACCTCGGCAGCATTTGAGGCACAGACTGTAAAGCATGGCAATTTTGACTAAATCCCCTTGGTGTATTGGCACTCAGGCAGAATGCCATGCAGAATCAGTGAAAAGTGATGTGGGCCCCTACTCAGCATTGTGCCTTTGTGCTGGCATAACAATGTCCTAGGAAATGATGCATGATACTAAACAGGCTGGTCAACAAGCAATGTTTTTTAATTGCAGGTTATATAATCAGAAAAAAAGATTTATCAGTTATATGGTGAAATTCAAGGGACTATTTTCAGTGTAGAATGCCCGCAACAGGGTGGCACAGATTTTCAGCATGATTGGTGTAGGCTGATGCCTGGTGCAGACTTGTCTGCATTAGTAGAGTAGACGTCACACGAAGGTTTTCAAACTGAGGAGAGGCGCTGTAGGTTTGTACATTGTAGGGTAGGTTTGTACTTTGTAGGTTTGTAGGTTGAAGGTTTTTAGGTTGTAGGTTGTAGGTTAGGTTAGGTCAGGTCAGGTTAGGTTTGTTTAGGTTTTGTTAGAAAGAAGCACCTCCGTGTATAGCGCCTCTCCTTGTTGGAAAACCTTCGTGTGACGTCTGCTCTACTAAGACAGACTTGTCACTATGGTCTTCAGCATCAAACAATATTTTTTTTTAGAATGCATTTTCTTTTAACACGAAAATATAGGTAATATTGTTTTTACGAAGGGGTTTTTTTCCTTTGCTGATCATTTTGAACATAACAGATCATAAATGGGTATGTAGGTTAGGTTAGGTTAGGTTAGGTTAGGGTAGGTTTGTAGGTTGTAGGTTGGTAGGTTATAGGTAAGTAGGTAAGGTTAGGTCAGGTTTGATTATGTTTTTTTCTTTTATTTGCGAGACATATGAGTATCATTTTTGGATTCAGGATGTCAAATAATGTAAAAATATGAAAAAAATTTTCAATGAAATCTTCTTAGGACTTAAACTTGACATTTACTCATAAATGTAGGTGACACAAAAAAACTAATTTCAGGAAAACGAACAATTCCCTTTGAATGCAATACTAGCATAAAAAACATACAAATTGCATTACACCCAGCTTTCTGATATACAGGGTGTAAAATCTACATAAAATAGGCAAATATTTCAATCATTAAAATCTTTTAAAAGTACATAAAATTTTAAAGTACATAATACTGAAGAAATGATGCCTAAACTGCTGCGTCGGTTCTGCCGCATTTGTCTCTCCTTAGAACTTGTTTATCAAAAGTTATGCATCCAACCTTTCTATGACGTCACAAGCTAAAGACTTTTTGGCTATGCACTGTTCATCCAGAGGCCTGTTTCACTAAAAACTTGTATTTACAAGTGTTTGTAGTTTACAATTCATAAGTATTTTTACCAACTACGTAAAAACCGATTTCACTAAGCTTCATCGCCAGTGGCACCTTCGATAAAAAATGTTTGCAAATAAACTTGTAAACAGTAAAAATGTTTTTAATCAAGAACTATAGCATGTTAAAGATATTGCTTCTTTGTATCAAATATTGTCTAGTATTCATGTCAAAAACTGTCTAATTAAATTATAAATAATGATGCTGTTGGAATAAAATATAAATGATAGTTAACATTGTTCTATTATTGAAAGAAAATAATACGCAAAACATTTGACAGCAGAAGACTGTTGAATGCAATTATGGCGCGCGAATGACAAAACATGACGATATTTTAAAGGGACCCTCCCACCTTAACATTAGTTTTGAGTTGAGATAGCCAAGTTTGCGGCCAGGCTCAGAAACCACCATTTATCCTGGTCGCAACCCCCGCAGCTTTATGGTGTTCAAGAAATTTCTTCCCTTTTACTGTATGCCTGGCCTATTCAAATACATTAGCCAGAGGGGTGTGGTAATATATAATACTGAACGAGGCCGGTGTAAATAAATTTTCAAGACCGAGGTCCTTACTGGATTTTTGAACGAGGCCGAAGGCCGAGTTCAAAAATCAGTAAGGACTGAGGTCTTGAAAATTTATCACCGGCCGAGTTTGGTATGTATTTTACTGTATGCCAACGATAAATTTATTTTCTGGACCGAAGCTCTTAGCCGACTTAGGAACGAGACCATCCCAAAATGTTGGCTGAAGTGCATTCTGGTAATGCATTTTTGACCGTGGTCAACTTGCTTACACCAGTTATTACCACACCCCTCTGGCTAATGTATTTGAATAGGCCAGGCATACAGTAATAACTGGTGTAAACAAATTGACCACGGTCAAAAATGCATTACCAGAATGCACTTAAGCCAACATTTTGGGATGGTCTCGTTCCTAAGCCGGCTAAGAGCTTCGGTCCAGAAAATAAATTTATCGTTGGCATACAGTAAAATACATACCAAACTCGGCCGGTGATAAATTTTCAAGACCTCAGTCCTTACTGATTTTTGAACTCGGCCTTCGGCCTCGTTCAAAAATCCAGTAAGGACCTCGGTCTTGAAAATTTATTTACACCGGCCTCGTTCAGTATTATATATTCTTGCAGGGTGGGACCAGCGTGGTCCCTATCTCTTAACCATTACGGGAATCTGATGACGTCATCAGGCTTTCGAACGTCCGTTAAATGTTTGACTAAAACGTTTTGTGGCACGCGGTGGTATATGCTGCTTTGCGCGCAACAAATGCCGCACTTTCAAATAAAGTCGCTAGGAACAGGGGAGATCCCAAAAAGTAAACAAAAGTAAAAGTCTAATATCTTGAAAACCGGTGAATATTTTTCGATGAAATTTGGTAGATATTCGTTTTTGCTCTTTCTGAACCGAGCGACATCACTTTCATGCCAATTCATTAACTTTTTTGAAGGTGGGAGGGTCCCTTTAATACCGATTATTTTGCTTCTTAGGGTGTGTGCTAAGTAAAAATTGAGCATGAAACGACTCAACAAAGCATAGTTGTTCTAAATATATGACTGTTTTGCATTATTGCACAAAAAGTATCAAAATTCCGAACGTCAGGACCACTGGAATTTCAGGTTTGTAATTACGATGTTTTCTTTCAAGTTTCTGGTCTTCGTGAAACAGAAAGTTTGCGATTCCCATGTTTTCTAGCAAACTTTTTCTTGTAAAAAAGTTTGCAAATTTTAAACTCAAAATTCATGTTCAAAGGTTTTGTAAAATCCAAATATCAAATGTTGGTAATTATTTCTTGTAAACTCAAGCTTTTTCTTTGTAAATACAAGTTTTATTTGTTAGTGAAACAGGCCTCAGCTGTTCATCAACGCATTGAAGAAATCTACTCCTAATCGATCGAAAGAAAGTGTAAGTGCGGCAACGGCCGGCATTCTTTCACTTAGGTACCGGCAAGTTCCAGGTGACGCTCAGAAAGACGCCCAACTTTCTCGAGTTATGCCCAAGGTTAATTGGACAGGCGGGCATATAACAGCGCCTTTGAGCTACTCTTGCGTTATTTTCCTTCAGTCGAGATGAGAAAAAGTTAATTTCATTCGCGCTCAATTTTAGACATGTTTACTCCTATCGGTGGCACTCGCAACTTGCAAGCTAAGTAAAAAGATACACAAAAAAATGAAGGTTTATTTCACAGACATACAACAAAATCCAACAAAAGCCAAGGCCTCGTCTAACATGTTAACTGGGGGGGCCAAACCCCCGCAGTCATCGACCTGGCCCCCCCAGTCAGGGCAAAAAGTCCCTACTGGGGGGGCCGGCAATAGTCAAAAGGCAAACGAATTTTTATGTCGCGGCGTCAGTGCACATAAAAACAAATGCGTAAACGAAACGATGCAATGTGACCACATTGAAATACCCCATTACCTAGGGCTGTTATGTGTTTATTTTGTTTACCTGAACCTTTTTTCGCTCAGCAATACGTTACATTTCGTCTTTTCAGGCGACCAACTCCGTGTCCCGGATATTCTTTTTTCATTAATTTTGTCCGAACCTTTTGAATGGAAGGATTCACAAGTACAGAGCCCCCGCCAAGCAGAGCTTTGCGTTGGCCCTGCCCTCTACCCTCCGATCGCGCAATTCGTGATCTATGACAGAATTTAGGGCCCAAAGTTTAACGTATGCACATAGCCGCGCACGGCCGGTCCCCTCACTGACTTCGAATGGCTACGGCCTGCCACCAACCGTAACCATACTCGCCAGGAGGCTCATAAAGATCGTGCGATGTCGCGCTTCGAACCTGGACTGTTATAACCGGGACGCGTGCCCTCACCACGCGGAGTCCAAGGCTCTACCGGCAAAAATTTCTCCTTTAGGTATCAATCTGTTGTTTCTGTCCTCGCCCCTCGGGGCGTCAATCTCTTGTTTTTGCCTATCGTCGTCCTCGCTAGCGGCGTCCAACTTCTGGCTGGACGGTCACCGGTGTGCTGCTAGAGTAAGTAGCTCCTAATCGTAATGAAGCAGGCTCCCGTTCTGAGTGGTCAAACGTAGGCGCAGATGCCAGATTGGTGGTCTGTCTGTGGGGACGGGAACTCTGACAGCTGGATTATCTTAAGAAGTCGGCATGGAGTCCTGGAGGGCAAATGCCAGCCACTTCGTGTCCCAACTCCCAACTGGCCTCAAAGCACTACTATCTTCATTTTTGTTTAGTTTATAGCCTCTGACGAGTGACGACCTTAAGGTTGTGTCGAAGATCCACGGCGATTACGGAGAATCCACCTGAGAAGACATCAGTCTCCATGTTGATACACAGGCATTACACTGGTCTGAGGGGGCCCTAGTGGGAAAATACGGTCTCCACTCAGATTGACCCTTAAAGCCTGGTATGAATCATATAAAACCAGTGTGGGCTACCATACAGGCCGAAGTAGGTCCAGAAGCTGACATTAGCCCTCAGAGATCGGCATCGAGCGCTCAGAGGGACCCATCAGAAACCGATGTGGTTCTAAAAAAAAAATGCGTATGGGCCCTCGACATAAGGCTCGGCATGCAAATTCCTTAGACACGGCTAACGGCACTGCCACTCAAACACACGCTCAACAACGAGAAGTGTGATTATTATTGTCTGATGAGGCAATGTGAGGAGGCTATAAACTAATATACAAGCATGGGTCGGATGGCCTACTATTTTTTTTTTGTTTTCAAAAAAAAAAATATTCATGGTGTCAGGGCTGTGATGAAAAATAAGTGGTCTAAATCCGGTGAGAAAACAGGATTTGGGGGTACCCTAGGTTTGGCTCCTTCAGTCTCTGGCCCCCCCAGTGAAAATTCCTTAGACGAGGCCCTGACAAAAGCGATACAAAATCAGTTCAGTCAAGCTTCCCTCTCGCCAATAAGTGCAGCGCTTCTCTGCGCCAGTTTACCACCATAACAGCCAACATCAGCCATATTTTCCTTGATAAAACTCAAGGCCGGTATACATTTTTACTTCAACATTTTGATCAGCTCGCCGATCATTTTGCCGACGCCGTCGAAGACGCGATGGAACTCCTTGGTGTCGTACATAAAGGCCGGCGTGGTGACCAGTCGGTTCTTCTCGTCCACACACACCTCGTCCACCTGGCACTGCTGGACGTCGGCGCCCCAGCCGGCCGCCGCCTCCTGGGAGCCGGCGTACGGCCACTGCGGCCCGCTGGCGCCCAGCGTCACACGGGCGCCCGGCACCAGGCGGGCCGCCAGCACCGGCGCGATGCAGCACAGCGCTACCGGCCGGCCGGCCGCGTGGAACTCCTTCAGCACCCGCTCCGCCTCCGGCTGCACTGACATGGCGGCGCCCTCAGTGCCGAATGTCGAGCTAAACGACACATAGCGTCATGAAAGGTCAAAACTGGGCAAACGCTAGCTATCTCTCACATACAGATCCACCAACATATGAGCAGAGGTCAACTTCCAAAATAGTTTAAAAGGACCAGGGGCTGTATTCACGTAGACTATTTTCTAAGAATTTTCTTACACATGGCCTACTTCTAAAGATTTTTTTTAATCACGTCAACTCTGTCGTTAAAACTGAACAAGTGTCGTTAAAACTGAACAAGTGTCGACGTGAATGCCAAATTATACTTACGAGAGAAAATCGACTTACCAAGTCGACGTGAATATGGCCCCTGTTCCGTGAGATAAAATATTATTGTTTCAGTCGGGTAGAGAAAACCACACTTGTCCCTTATTTTACACCTCACAACATTTTGAACGTTAAGGATGCATCTTCTACGACCAAGGAAACACAGTGCTGTATCACCAGCACTGAGCACACCCATTCGTAACGTACAGGTTCTTGGCGGCGCCGAAACCGCCAGGGAAGACCACGGCATCCGCCTGGCTGAGGTCCAGGGTGCTGAGGTCGCGTACATCTCCACGGGCGATCCTCGCAGACTCCTGCAGCACACCGCGCGGCTCGCCCTCGACCGGCTGGCCCTGGCGACCGAAGAGGAATGTCAGACGAATCGACCACGGTACAGTTATACAGACCAGACGGATCAACCACAGTACAGTTATACAGACCAGACCACACGGATCGACCACGGCACACTGATATCCATTACACACCAGACGTATCCGACCGAGCACGGTACAGCTGTTTTGGCGCACTTATGGAGTCGTTATGAGCTATATTATATTTACGAATCGTCTGTATGTGTCGCCATCGTACCATATCCTGCAATCGCATTACGCAAGGCGTACCCGGTACCTTAATGTGGTCGACGACGTGCATTTGCTTGATGTCCGGGGCATAGCACTGGACGTCGGCGCCAGCCCTGCTGAGATGCACTAGGCAGGCGGATGCCTCGTGCACCTCAGTGCCGTCATATACGCCACAGCCAGACAGCACCTGGGCAAAAGTAAAGGGGAACAGATGAATCAACACGATAAAGGATTGTTAAGCTTAAACATATTGCTGATTGCATTAAACACAGGAGTGCCTTGTTATATGATAACCTTATTGTAATTGCCAATTGCAATGCTTTGGTTTGTTGAATCTGCAGACCACATCTACAGGCTACAGGTTTCACCTGTTCAGCCAGCCAGCAATTGCATCCTAAAAAAGTTGCCAGTCACTGCTGTAATAAAAGATTGCCAATCATGCATATATTTACAGATGCAGTGACTGAAACCTAACATTATTAATAAGTTCCCTCTTCCCAGAACACCTAGGTACATTATTATACTCTGTTTTAATTGTACTATTTTCCCACTTCTTAAATTGATCCATTTTATTACAAGCTGTTAGTCAAGAAACTGGCATACAGCTGGCCCTTACCACTGCAACCTTTGGGGAAGCCATCGCTGCAGAGCTACTGAGCAGTCGCAGCCCAGCAAGTGGTGGCTGGCGTCGAAGGACGAAGGAGGCCAGTTGCAGTGCCATGGGTGATTGATCAGCCTGCAAACACTTATGTGCATAATTAAGATTCACTGACTGGTGACTAGCCATAACCTCCCAATCATCTCAATTCGTGGCCTTATTTTAACTCAATGTGGAAGTTTTACAAAAAGCATAATTGTAATGTGAAAGGATGTTCCGACTTCCGTTGAAGATTTCAAAATAATAGGTCGGTGAGAGTCTCAAGCGATTTTAAAAAAGACTGTAACGATTGATCCGAGTGTTGCAACCAAGGCAGTATATGTTGCAACGATGTAGCGATTTGTGAATTTTGAACGACTACGATTTTTTGTATTAGCTTTGTAATGTCTTGTATCATTAATGGTATTTTCTTTTGATCAATAATCCCTATTGCAGTACCTGCAGGTTCAAATGTCAAAATAAACACAGGAAACAATTGAATTTCAATAAGGTAGTCAAATTCTTGAAAAAAAAACAAAATATTTCGGTATTATCGACCGACCTCCTCGGCAACTATCGCCTTGCTCGGCAACAAACAAAACAGTGAAAACGCCAACTTCAAAGCTTGACTTTTTAAGTGACTCGATTACCAACCTTGACAAACTATGACGTCATGAGCTCCATTTCATGGCACCGGGCACTGGGTATTGAGCTGTATACCGTATAAAAATTATGCATGTTTTGTTAACTGATAAAGTCTGCAGCTTACATAAATAGCAGGTCTGCATCAAATAAAATTATGTCCAAGTTTTGCATTGTGGAAAATCTCTCCAAATCCTCGATCTGGATCTATACTCGGGAGTAAGGACGTACAAATCCTCAATGCCTACCTCATAATTTATATCCTTTGTGTCGGGCTGTACCTATCATAATTCATAGGTATGGGTTGACAGTCACCACTCACCACCATCCGACTCGAGTCGCTCCCAAAAGAACATGCTCCTCTGCGTTGGAGTGACCATTCGCGCGCCTGGGTGCCGGGTGGTCTGTTCCTCGGGATGGGCTCAGACGGTAGCAGCTCAAGCCATTGCCCCCCCCCCCCCCCCCCCGCCAAAAAAAAACTTATATATAGCATCCTTCCGACAAATACAGAATCCTTCGGTATCCACCCAACAAAACAAAGAAAGATCTCAACCCATATGTCTCCATTATCTCTCCGAGGAAACAGGACGCACAAATCCTTCTCACAACCCCGAGCTTAGCCCTGCATCCCACTGATTCGGCTGGACAATCACCATCATCTGACTTATGTGGCTCATCAGGAGTAGCCTCGCATACAGTGTGGTGACTGGTCTGATATGCAGCTGGGTGAGCCAGCTAGGGTGAGCCCACCGCACGTGGGGTCACCCTCGTGAAACTACCCTGCGTTCGGAGTCTCTCGGACGACGAGGATTCTACGTCGTCCGCCCAATCCCGTTCCATAACCGCAGCCAAGCCCCCACTGATCTTGAACGGGATTGGCCGGACGACGCAGAATCTTCGTCGTCCGAGAGACTCCGAACGCGGGGCACTTGAGCTTGGTCACTTGAGCTTGGCCATCGTTTGGGTTCTGTAAGGTTCAAGTTTAAGCCATCTTTTGGGCTCTGTAAGTTGCAATTTCAACACTCTGTTTGGACAAGCCTCTGATGATGATGTCCTCAGCAGTTACCAAAGTGTGGAAAATCCTGTTCACTCCAACTTATGTGACAAAATCTACAAGATGCACTTATCTAATGAATCACTGAATATTGTTTTTCCTATTGCATATTTAAGAAAGTAGCCCAAATCTATTGCATTGCAGCCTAGGTATATCATGCCATACTACACCTGGACTCAGTTTTCATTATAAATATTCTATGGTACCTCAAGATGGCATGAGCATTGAACATGGTGAAGAGATGATTAACTGGGTAGATATCCTTGGTAAAATAAAGCAGGTGCTCTAATAAAGACATCTATTGATCACAAGCACGATGCAGCAGTACTCTCAGTTGCACATGACAGCCACCAGAGTCATGATTGGTACTTCACTGGTACTTCCCAAACCAAACTTTGTCATACTTTGAGCACCACTTATGGCACCCCATCATGTTATTTTGAATCAGATACTTGTATGTGTACTGATTGGTGTTGTTTTCATCTGCCCATTGTTCCAGTTCTTTTTTCTTCAGCAGGGTTTCATGACTAACAACTTCTGCCTTGAAGGGGAGCTTGCCTGCTACTTCCTGTAGTGCAGGCTTGACCTCCTCAAACTCACATGCACCAGCCAGCTCCACAATCACTCTACCTGCTTTCACAGGACTCACATAATGATCTATGGAGCCTTTCCCACCTCCCATTCTTTTGCCTTGGCCACGCTTTGTGATGGGCTTCCATACTGCATCCACCCTCCAAATTGCAAACATTCTGCTTGTATCCATCCGTCTTCCAAGGGTCATGCGAATCATCTCCATGTGCCCATGCCTCAGCTTCCCCCCAGTCACAGCAACAATGCCATACTGTTTGTGCAAAAGCTGATTATGGACAGTCTCTGGACCCCTCATGTCAATCAGCCTCTTCTGAGACTTGGGGATCCTCATACCTGGAGGAAATTGAGGAACTTTGGCAAGCATCCATAGCTTTGGCTTCTCTGGGATCTGCATTCCAGTATAATCTGTAGGGGGCTTGAAATATTTGAACCCTGCAGCAGGAACATTCTGTAATAGCTTGCTGGACAAGAAGCTTTTAACGTTCACCAGACGAGTAAAATTCATGGCTCAACAGATTGAGATCCTCAACGAACTGTTTCTTGATAGCATTGACTGAAGAAGCCCGCAAATGTGATATTTCTGAGCAGGTTAGAACACATTTACTAGAACTAGGTTGCATCAAAATGTGCTTGGCATGAAGCCAGCGCACAGGCACATTCAAGATTGATAAGGCCTCTCTCAATATCTTGATACTGATACGCAGGAAAAAAACAGTATCAAAGCACACACAGTCCGGTCTTCTACAGCAGCAATCAGCAGCTGGTATGGATTTATATCACATAAGCTCCAATAACATCTAATAATCGGCTTCCACAGGCCAAGGCCGCCACTTCCATCCTATCATACACACACTGCGCGCGCGGCCCCAGAGCACAACAAATTTGTCTACAATTCTGGCCCACGAAATACAGAAACAGATTTTTGATATACAAGCTGCGACCACTAAAATAAACGTTGTTGTTGGCAATGCTTAAATGTGACGTCCGTTCCGAGATTTTTGCCTAAGAACAAACACTCTAATGCCTACCACTCGGAACGTTTTATATATTCTTTTGTGGGGCAAAAAATAATCAGTGGATCGGCACATGCTTTAAAAAAAGTTGGAAGTAAAACCACCAGATTCAGACCGTTCTGTCGTTTTCATCCTCAGGAGTCAGAAACCCTTGGGGCTCGTGTAGTCAAAAAATCCTTCTCCACGCAAAAAAAAAAACTGATCTGATCCGGGCTGGACGGGCAACTTTATCCCATGCGGAACGCTCTCATGCTCATAGGTGTACATACGCCCGTAGCCGGGTGCAGAGACTATCAGTGTGATGGGCTCATCAGCCCAGATGACTCTCCAGGCCCCACGGTGCCCACCCAGACTAATGTCTTCCTGGAATTCCTATTATCTCTCCGGCTCTGAAATGGCCTCATGAGACCAAAAGGGTATAACAAAAAAAGCACCAGATGCTGGTTAGTGGTTGGTTGTTTATTCCTATCGATATGGAAGTCCGACCTATACGCGTTATAGGCCGTGATCCGTAGATATATATAAGCGCCGTACCTACACTGAAAAAAAAATTTACTCACTTTTCTGAGTAATGACTGAGTTGCCATTTTGTCCAATGGTAAAACTCACTCTAAATCCGCGTACCTACTCAGGTAAAACTCAGGGCGGAACGCAGGTAAAACTCGGGCAAAACTCATTGCAAGTGAGTAGCATGTGAGTAACAAAGTGAGTTGCCATTTTGTCCGATGGTAAAACTCAGATAAAACTCAGTAAGTACTCATGCGTAACTCATGTCCTACTCAGACAACTCAGGCCAAACTCAGGTATTAGTAAGTCATTACTCATGAAAAACTAGGAAGTAACTCACATGTAACTCAGCTGGTACTAATGTATAACTCAGGTGGTAGTACGGCCATAACTCAGTTGGAACTCATCGGTTATTCAGTGAAAACTAGGGCTGTACTCAGGACGTACTCACGTCGATAACTTATACGATACTCGGGTGTTACTCAGGCGCCGCCTGAAACGGCTGATCTGATTCGTTTTATATTGGCTCAAGCCAATGTATAGGCTCGCCGCCCATGATAACAGCTGCCGCATCAGCATTATGCAATATGCATGCATGATGCTGATACAACAGCCACTACCAGGCAGCTAGTCTATATATTGGGATTGGCCAATATATAACGAATCATTGCCCAAAACCAGCATACATATCTGTATTATACCATGCCCGACCAACGTCTAGTCTTGCACTATTCGCCCCAGCCCTTACAAGAAATACATGTTTGTAGAAACGGTCGCATTGCGCTGTATTTCAATTGTGACCGACACGCCAAACTGCGTCGGGGGGGGGGGGGGATCGACTCCACGTCAGCTCAGCTTCACTCTTTTGCCAGCTTCTCGACCTCAGTCTTCGCGGCTACAGGTGGCTGGCGCTCAGCATTGAATGGTGTGTGGAGCACATGGATACACACAAACCACAGCGTGTTTCGCACTTTGTGCGCCGTTTGTTGACTGAGCACAAAGTGCGCCGTCGCCCACAGCAAAAGACTCCCTTCCAAACCATGGATCCCCACAAGACTTCCGTTCGCTCCACGATGAGGCGGCACCGTTCGTTTTCTTCGGACTTGTTATGATAGGGGTGATCCAAATTTTCGTCACCCGTGTACGCCACCACTGACGCCTTCTCCGCCAAGATGCAGAGGAGGCTCAATGGGCCGTTCCCTGAAAACACAATAAAAAAGTCAGATTTTCTTTTGCCAGTAAGAGAAACGGAAGTTATAGGGCATGCAAGGTGATTGAAATATCAAAAGTTATCAAGTTACTTCAGCTCAAAATTAATGTTAAACCGCGCCGTGCTGGTGCTCTGAGTTTACCGTGATGTACTGGGGGGAGGGGGTCGTCTTCACGTCCGCTCTTCTAACTCGGCTGTTGGGGTTGGGCCACGTAGCGACACGCCGTAAGCGGCTTTCGAAAAAGCATTAAAGATATTTAAGGAAATACTTGGGTAATTTTAAGGTCAAGTCAAGTGCCAGGTCACCAGAGGTCAGGAAAGGCCAAATTTTGCTTATTTCAATATTTTCGAAAAACTGGGGCTTAACTCGGAACCAAAAGAGCTGCCCGCGGAAAAATGCAGTCAAAAGCCCTTTCGACTTTTTTTTGCTGGCGTTTGATCTCAGATTTGACCTCAGGTCAACAATTAAGCCTCCAGAGAGCAAAAACTCTAAAAAAGCCGTTTTTACCAAAATGTTTTCTGTAATACTTTCCACTCAAGAGTCACGACATTTATTTTGCCGTTAGCATGT